CGCGACTGAACGTGTAAGTGCTAGCAGTGTAAGGGTTTCAGAGGACAACATATCGATCCAACATGTTGCCGCCCAGTCGTCCCTGGCATTGTACTTGGTTCGTCCGGCTGCTGCCACGTAGCGGTGCCTGTTCGACCCCGCCTCCAGCGCGGTCAAATGCCACGTCCGCTTGGGGCCTTTGGTGGTCTGCATGGCTCTGCAATGTCGCCAATGTTGACGGGACAACGCCCGATTTCAGCGAGGACGTCCCTGCCCCACCGCTCGCCGGTCGACTGCCCTTGCGGGCCACGCCTTGTCTGCATTTCTTGGGCTTGCTTCCGCCTTGGACTTACGTCCTGCGGCCGGGTCGCGTTGGATTGCAACTTCCCGCGATGCCTTTGCACTGGGACTGCGGATTGGCCAGAAAAGGTGCGTCGGAACCAAAAAAAACTGGCAGGCGCCCAAATTTAGCGATGTTTTGCACGCAAGCCGCTTCTCTATACACCTCTGCCTCTGCCCAAGGGTTACCCTGCACAGCTAGACCGCCGGCGGCCCGAGGGTCCATCTTCCAGCCTGCCTTGGATTACCGCGTGTGACCCTGCAGAACTGGGTGCGTTTTTGCAAAACAGCGCGACAAAAAATCAGAAGAAGAAGAAGACAAAAAAAAAAACACGCTTGCTTGTCATGATTTTTTCTATGTACAGTTAGCACTCTTCGGTTGATTGCTTTGACATATTGCGACCATTCTTCTCATTATTCCTGCTTTCTTGAAGTCCGGTTATCACTGGCACCCTCCTTGTACAGTTCGGAGCCCCGGTAATCAATGCGGTATGCGGTGGACATATTGACATGTACAACTTCAGGCGCACGGGGGGGATGTGTAGCCGGTCAATCTAGGACCTCAAACATGGGTGGTGTGCATACCTTCTCAACATATGGAACTTCAAAGGGGCCATGGGCGAGCGATCAATGCAGAACACGTCAATGAAAAGAACTCAGCACATGTTATTGTTCCACACAAAAACCAAGTATACTGACGTGGGTACGGGGAGGGGGGGAGACAAGTTGTAATAACATTACTGTACATGGGTCCGAACGACACAAGAAACACACAGCCCTCCACCTTTGCCAAAGCCAAAACCAAAGCCAAAACCGCCCTCGAAGCTGACCTCGCATATGCTACCTGCAGCTTAACCATTGGCACGGCGGCAAAACAAATAATGCTACCGTCTCCAAAAGGCGGTTCGGAGAAGGAACCATTTTCATTTGGTGTTTTCGGCAGGGGTTTTTGTTTTGCTGTTGGGGCGCCCGGCGCCCGCCCCGGCTTATACCCGGCCCCAAGAGCAAAACATAATTTCTCCCAGTCCAAAACCACAGAAAGGACCAGACATCAAAATTTTTCGGTGACTTTTGACGCGGGTGGGTTGGGTGGTGTCCTCGTGTCTCCTGTTGTGCGTTACGTGCTATGTCCTCATGCATGGTCTTCATGTCGGTTTCTTGTCCGCGTCCGAATGCGGCTCTCACGGGGTCAGCTCTGGAAAACCGTGTTTTTTTTCGCATATTGTGTGATGATGTCACGCATTAGGATTGGAACATGATGTTGACAACAATAGCGCAAGTGACTTGCCCAGGCCATCACATTGGAAGACTCAGCCATGGAGCAGGCAATTCGGCCATGCGTCGTGCAAAGGCAGCCCAGGCAATGTTTGCATGTTGCTACCTGCTACCAAGGCTTTTCGGGAAGCTTTTGCTCGAGCGCATGCCGAAGGAGGTGGGGGACGTCGAAAGTGCATCAGCTCAGTTGTTATAGTTTTGTGTTGGATGTCAGGGTTCACATCCTTCGATCCTAACCTGCGCGGGCCGATGATCAAAGGTAGCGCGGGCCTGAATCTTGTGCGCCCAACTTGGAAGTGTTTGCCCAACAAAGCGTTGCGCGGATGTGCACTGGGCGACACAGGTGCGCCCTAAAGCGTGACAGCTGCTGTTGACTGGGTGCAAGCAGATGTGGGATGATGGGGGGCCTATGCCTTGCATCCCAATGTTGGCGCAAAAGAAGCATAGAGAAATCTTGCTTGAGCATGACCAAAATCGGCATGTTCTTGTGGCCCGAAGTTTGCCCTTCACGCCACGAGGGCAGGATAGGAATGAGCAGCCGCCAGAGCTTCATCAAAAGGCTTCGAATAGTCTAGTCCCAGCATGGGCGCAACGCGCTCCGCCTTCAATGCACAGGTGGGATAACGGGTTGGGCTATCCTTCGCAGGCCACCGCTGGATCAAACGCTCCAGTGGCCACCAAGCAAACCTCGAGCCGCGCAGTTGAAAGTTGGCGCGAATCGTTTGCCATCAATGATTCTGAAGTTTGTGCTGGTCCCGCCCGTGTCGGATATTCATGGACTGGTAAATGCAGTGGGCAATGGGCGGGCTCCATGTTGTTTTGTTTCATGCATATGTAATGTTTTTTCTTGGCGGTGGCATGCCCGATGGTGGAGTTGACACAAGTTTCATGCATTCTCCAGACACGAGAAGCATGAGAGCGGCTTTCACAATGAGGCCCTGCCGACTATGCAGCGAAGGTGGAGGCTAGCATCGTGAATGGCGGGAAGAAAGAGCGAGCAATTAGATGAAGAAACAAATCGGCAACAGCACGGATTACAGGGCTAACTTCAACAGCCCCAGGCCTTCGCGAAGCATTGCGACTGCATGAAGTCCTCAGATGCAGACATCGAGCTGCGTGCTTGGTTGATTTTTTCAGCCAACAGTTTCAGCATGCTGTGCATAATCGCTTCGAGGTTCCTGTATGGTGCAGGTGCTGATCTGGAGGTTGGGTTGTGAGTTCCAATATTCTAAGATATGTCAACTGCTGCTGTGTACGAGAAGGGGGCCCTGGATTTGGTTTGCTTTGGCAGGCAGTTTGCAACAAGCCGCTGGGCAAGAAACTGCTTACATGCCTTTGACGCAGCTTTTAGATGACAAATTGACACCCTCAACAATTGAGGTGGCTGCAGCAAGGTCCAAAGGTAGCGACTTGGCTTTTCCATTTGTTTTTGGCGAAGCTGCATCGATGTTGGCCATTGCGGAATTTTGCGATGCACATATTCCACACAGATGCCGAGCAGATTCGGCGCTCCGTGTGTCCAGGTTGTGGTAACACGTGGCCCGGATGGAGCTAGAGCCTGAGAGGCTATAGATTTGGATAATGGACAAGAAAATGGAAACTACTATAGCATTTTAGGGTATATATTGGGGTTATATTGGGGTCCAATACAGATAATGGAAAAGAAAATGGAAACTGTCATATGTGTCTGCGCAATGATTTGCTTCTGCGCTCAGCTTTGCCCAGGCCTCGGCTTACTTCCGCAAAGGCAAGTCCGGGTACGAACCCGAGACGTGTTTTGTAAGGTAAGTGGCTGGGAAAGTCGGAAAGTTTGCGTCTGCTTGTGACATGTACTGGGCGCCTGGTGGGCAGTCAGGCAGATTTCATCACTTTCAGTGAAGCCTCCTTGCGACCCACCAAAGACGATCGATGCTCAGGCTGCCAAACTGGGTGGGTTTGAGGGAATATTTGAATAGTATGCATGTGGTTGTCGCGGGATTATAGGGGGAGGCTCAGAAGTTCGCGGCTGTTTAGCATCTATTCTACAGGGTTTGGAGGCCAAAGCCTCTGCGCACTATCTCGAACTACACCCTGCAAGTTGTAGGGCCGCCCGGCGCCTGTGGCGGACACCGTGGGTCCGGAACCCAACAAGCAGCTAACCACAATGCGTGAGCATGTCATGACTTGAAAGCACACCAAGGTGCAGGGGACACCTGCATGGGGTCAATGCTCTGCTCCTTCCTGGGTAAGGCTAGCAGCGTGCTTCTAGGTACCTGGGACATCGATTCCAGTCAACCCAAATGCAGCAGAATTATTGGCTCAAAGTTGAAGCCGTGCGCAGGAGAACGCCAAGCAAAGTAAACAGCACAACACTGTTCAAGAGTACCTGAAGTCTTCTTACCCCCATTTGCTGGCATCCATGCATTGCAGGATTGAGCTTAGGCTGACTGTGGCGCCTCAGGGTGAGCGTAAAATTGTGAATAGCTACATAAGTTACATGGCCCTTTCACCTTTTTACCTTGCAGGCTTGCATATGTAGGCGCACTGATATTCGCAAGCTGCTTGACAGTTCCCCTTCTAGAAGGGCTGCCCGCTCCACATCTCATGTTGTGGCAACGGCGGCAGCGACATGTTCTGCAGGCCGCGGCTATGGTTTGAAGATTTCCCTGCTTGTCATTGAATGTGGGCAGATGTGGGCAGCCCTGACAGAGTAATTGCCAGAAGACCCTGAGAGCCTGAGGTGTTGCCCGTCTTTGGTTTGATGGCTCTTGGGCATGTCAGGTCAGCGCTGAGACGGGCGCTTCTAGACAATGTTGCGGTGGGAGACGACCCGATTTCTCGGTTGAGCCCATTTGCGCTGGCCCGTTTAGCCACTGGGAAAGCCAGTTTCATAGCTTTGGGATGTTTGTATTCACCAGGTTGAGGAACCTATGACCCAGCTTCTCCTGTCATTACTTCATGTTCGCTACCAGCAAAACTGTTTCCCGTATTGTAGTTCACATGGCAGCAGCATGCCGGAAGTGTTGTTGAGTTCGTGGTTTGTTCTTGGCTTTGTTGCTTGCAAGGCATTCCGCAACTCGGCAAAATTCAGTACCATGGGTACTGTACCAGACTCTGGCACCCAATGCTGCCTACATCAGAAGCAAGATGTGCCAGCGAGCCCAAGGCATGACAAGTTTTTGGGAGTATGTTCGGGTAATCTTCCATGGCGGACTCATAAGTTGCATGGGGACGAGTTGCAGGCAACAGCACCCAAGGTGCAGCAAAGGAAAACCGAAAAAGCGTCAGCTTTTGGCGAGCGCTGTCTGCCAGAGCAATGGTCGTCGCTCCTACGATGCAACCACGAGCTGTGGGCCCAGCTGCGATGGATCATGCAATTGATGCCCGGGTTGCCCCAACACGGGGATCGGCATTCGTTTGCTGAGGACATGTCGATGGTGCTTGCCGCTTTCGCGCGGCTACGCTTGCGAGACCGGGAGATGATGCTGCGGGTTGCTGAAGCCACCCCAGCCATTCTGGGACAATTTTCAGCAACTGACATCACGAGCCTTTGCTTGCACTGTAGCAGAATGCTCTTGCCTTCCACATGTAGCGGCTCCTGCTTTGCTCCCACCTATGTCGCGGGGAAAGGGTGCTACCACATAGGTTTGGTGCTGGAAGCCTTGGCAGTGAGCATTGAAGCTCGAGGCATTTCCTCGCAGCATTTTCCCGACTGGACGTGGAGCACAGGCTTGTCTTCAACCTCTTTGCAAGGGAGATTGCGAGGAGCGCCATTCCGCAGTGATGTCTGTCACCTGCAACTGTTCGAGAGCCTAGTGCTGAAATACTGGGAGTGGGCAGAAGCGTAAGGCCTCAAGGCCCCAAGGCGCTAGAGTGCTTAGACATTGGCATCCTGATACGGCAGACAGGCGCAAATGCACATGAGCCGCCGCAGGAAACTCCACGATTTTGATGCTGCTCAGCTTGGCGAGCTGGCTCCATGGCTGCACATGGCATCAGCATCTTCTCGCCTCATGACGAAAGCTTCGCTCAGTTGCAGCATTGTTCGGCGTGCTTATTTGGAGCTGGTGAGCAGGCACCTGCACATCCACAGTTTCAGCTCAGGTCTACGCCTACGCTCGTCTGAACTTCCATCATGACCTGCTTCTGGACGTCCTCAAGAAGAGGATCGTTGAAGTGGCTGCCCAAGTCCCAAGTCAGCCTGCTCAGCCATTGATGATGGCTGGCAGAAAGTTGAGACAGGCATCATTCAAATGAATTTGACTTGGAGGCGGTGGCACAGCACAACTACGAGTAGCATCGAGTAGCCACAAGAGGCGTCAAAGCCGATACGTAAAACTTCGCGTGGAGGCTTGAGGTTCTGTTGAGAGATGTTCCCTAATCCCTCAACCCCATAAACCCCAATATAACCCCTATATAACCCCTTGAGAACCTCAGCTCGAGTTCCAGCATTGGTGTTGAGAGTGTGGGAATCGGCAAGAATTGACAGCCAGAAAAATCTCACCAGCCAACTTAGACGCCCCATCCCCGACACTGGGATTTGTAAACCATCGCTCAGGATTCTGGGGTAATGCCCAGGCTTTTCATTGCCCTACCTCTGAATTCGTAGCTTTTTGAACGCTTCTGTGTTTTTAATAAAATCTGGCCGCTTGAGGAACTATGATTAGAATTCGACTCTATGAAAGTCTTTTCGGTTTTCAATAGAATCGTTTTTGTTTTTTAAATGCAGTTCCGTTCATGCATTTTGTCCTTGCTCGATCTGGTGTAGGGCGCTGTTCACAAACCCTCTGTATCCCTCTGTACAGTCCTTTTGCCGGGAGTGGGGGTCTCAAGTTCGCTGGTAAAAGTCTGAAAAAGGCTTGCAACTTGTGATTTCGCGAATGCCAACACTTTTGGCCAGTGATCTCTTCAATTTTTTGCAGGGTAGACAGTTTGTGTTGGCTTTAAGCAATGGGGCCAGGAAATCCAGAAAAGCATGGATCTGACCAACATGCTGCAGAAACTCCGAGGAAGTAAGATACTTTAGGTTGACCCCAATCCCGTAATGGTGACTATGCGGGATAATGGCAATCATGTTAGTGTCCACTTATATGGATACTTCATGCTCTGCAGGTCGTCAAGGCAATGAAGCCATGGCACCTGGCAATGGTGGCAAATGGGTTTGCAAGATTGGGCGCCAGACGCTTGATAGCGATTTTGTACTTCGAGTGTGCCTGGGTTGCTGTGCTGATATCAAAAGCACACGCAAGGTGACGAACGATTTTTCACAATCTTGGCTGCAGAGATTGCGCGGAAGATTTCTCATTTCGAAAGCAAGCCGTCGCCTACCTCGCAGCAGTTTACTTGCTCTTGTCGTGCTACGACATAATTTTTGTGTCGCATGTTTCTGCAGCTAGCTTTGCTTCTGCCTGGGCCCCCTCACTAAGATGCACAACGAGGTGCAACGGAGGGGATCAGTATGAGTCAGTGAAAGAAAGAGCTGTGCCATGAAAACTTGCCCCTAGCCCTAACATTAAAGCCCCCACCCCCCCGAACTGAAATATGCCCAATAGATCTTAAGATACCAGAGTGGAAAAATGTTAGGGCGGGTGGGGGTGTTCAATATCAGGGGGAGGGGGTACGTTTGTCTGTGGGTCCAAGGCTTGCGCTTGTCGCGAATGCGTACGCCAAACTCGGTGTCCGCAATCGTGCTTGGGCTGCAGCAATCACCTCTTTCCCGCACGCTGCCAGCTGCACCTCAATGCAGCCAATAGTTTCTGTTGAAAAGTTGGGGCAGGAAGATCTTGTGGTTACTTGTCTCTAATGCTCACTGCCCCATCTGCTGGTGCGGCACTTTTTCGTTGCAGTCAAAATTGTGCTGCCCAACTGCGAAAAGAGAAGCACTGCGGAGGCTTCCTCCTGGAGCTGTTGGGGGACGAAGCTTTTCGCCGGCGAGGCGAACTGGAGCCCCAAGCCGTTGCTCTCGTCCTGAATGCGCATGCGCGCCTCCAGATGTCCAATCCTGTCTTGTTTGACTCTTGACATCTCTTGCCGCATGTTGCTGGTTTAATTTGGTTTGTTTGAACACGCGTCGGTCGAGCTTGTTGCTCGATGCCTGGCCCGCAGGGGGATTACAAATCCAAGGATTACTTCGCACACGACGTTCCTCGGCGAATACGAGCTCACAACCTGCAGTCGCTCTGCATTGTGGCCAGCGCGTATGCTAGACTCCGTCGGGCAGAGGAAACACTCTTTGAAGCTTGGCCTGGCTTTGTTGCCATCAGGATGCCTTATTTCTTGAGGGTTTTGGGTTATAGTGGTCTGAGTGTCATTTATAGTTATACCATGGGCTCAGCGACATTGTGTCATAGCAGTTTTTCGACAGGCATCCTGACCCAACTGTCAGGCAAAGATTGGAGATTATGCTTGCACAAACGCGTCCCAGCTGCTTGACAACATATTGATGCTAGGTACTTGTTCGTGACCGAAGAGTGATGGCTCAACAGTTACGCTACAGCTAATATCTTTACAACCATTGTTTCAGTCAAATTGGTCATGAAAGAACATGTTTACTGAAGTGCACGAAGGTTATATCCTCGTGCCCTGGCCACGCTGCTTTATTCCTTCTCAGAAGTTGAGATTCGGCATGGCTGCTCAGCAGCACTCGTCATCTCTGAGCATCTGCTGCAAGCTCCAGGCATTGGTAAGCAACTCAGCTCAGGCATGCTGTTTTTCAATGCGCCGGAACATGTGGAGAAGTTCCTGGAGAGTTACACTACAGACGAGCTTTGCATGGTGCAGGGCTCAGCTTCCCAAGTGCAGGATCGCAACAGATGCTCACGCGGCTGGTGATGTTGCACACTCATCGAACTCCAGACTCCCCACCTCCCCCAGCTCTCCCCCACCCCGCCCCCCCATCTCCCACATCCCCTCCCCCCTTCCCCCCTTCTACAGCAAGAGGGGGTCCAGTCAATTCAGAACCTCCTGCGATTCTAAGGTTTCTGGGGATTGACTTAAAGATGGAGGTCTTGGTCTGGGATTCTTAATTTTATCGCTAACGCGCGGCCGCTAGGCAAAGGTAGTGGAGGCTGGGGCTGGCAGTTGAGGGTCAGCGTGGAGCGCAGCTGACTGGGCTCGAGCGCAAGGGAGTTCTGACCTCCGAACGTTAGCGTTGTTGCATCCTGAGTTTGAACGGTGTCTCGCCGTCCAGCTTTCTGAAAAACCACGCTGCCCCCCACCCTCCTGGGAAACCTACGAAAACGGGCCGATCGTGTGCACTGGGAGTGGGTTAAACTTACTCTTCTTCCAGCCCTGGATTAAAAGGTTTTTAGCAAAACTGAGCGGCTTCAGATTTCAGCTTTGGTAGTTCTGTGGATTCTGGATATCTGTGACTGCTGAGCTGGGCAAGGATTTTCAAAGGGTTGCCTTTCGAAATCCTCCCGTTGGGGCCTCAAAATTTGCAGCTCCCCCCTTCTTCGAGTTCCCCTAAACCAAAACACATTACTCAAGGTATTCCCAACAATGGCCTGAAATTGAATAAGAGGGTGCCAAAACACATGGCTCAAGATTTCTTGACTAAAGTCAGTGCAACATTATCAGCAATCCTGTGGGCATTTCCCAAGTTTTAAACAGGGGTCCCCCGCTTAAATTGAGACATGACCTTCCGTCCTTCTGGGTCTCTGCACGGGACCCCGTACTTACGAAAATCTTCAGCTGTCCAGGTTGGCCGTGCATATGGTCGGTTCCAAATGGCTCACACCCGCTTGTTCGAAAGCATCTCATCTGCCCTACCTGCACGAGCGCTCGTCGGGGAGGCAGGGTGTTTTGGCGAGCTTGGGGCTTGGGGAGTTTAAATAGACGTCGGCTCATATCCACTTGCCTTTTTTGGGTAAGAGTGTGCTTGCGCTATCGCGGAAGTCTGCAAGCTGTGATAGGGCAGTCGCAGTCGAGACCAGATAGCCGACCATGGAGATGTTGAAGATGGCGAGGACTGGGTCTGCATCAAAGCTGTCCCTGTTATATGGCACATGTGCAGAGTACTTCACTGTAGCAGGATGCAAATGTGGAATCAAACATGTCCGTGCCGCGGATCAGTTCGTTGGTGGGGCTTCTGGAGGCAAGGCTGGGCGGAGGACATTGGGAGCAATGGTGCCATCCACTGGCTAGCGTGACTCCAAAGGCTTACGCCCGACTCACCATCTACCACATGGAGACCAACCAGCTGCTCTGTGATGCCGTAGTGGCTCGCGAGAAGGACCTGGCACCGGCATTGATCATACAGGAAGCGCGACTGCAAGCATGATTTCACAGCTTCACCACTTCGTGCAGAAGCTGTTCAAAAGAGCTGCGGTTTTGTTTCAGGCCGCTCGTGCCTGTGCTGCGCTGGCATACGCACATCCTGGTATCATCAGGCACCAACCAGTCGTCGGGGTCTGGGCTGTAAGTAGACTAGCCGCCACCAATCAAAAGGCTGGCGACTGCCTGCATGGCAGAGTTTGGCGAGCAGCTGACCGAAGAGGCTCTCAGAGATCATCATGATACATTTTCAAATACTCCAAAACTCCTTAGCTTTGGGATCCTTAAGGAACTTGGTAATTACCGACGTGATGCTGCGACTGCCCATGATCCCTCTCTCGCAATTTCCTGGCTTCTCCAGGACTTTGATTTTCTGGGGCGCGCGCTAGAAGATTTGGGCGTATTGGGTGAGGACAGCCGCCTCATGCTGGCCAGTTTCTCAGCTTTCCCCACCACACTGAACTTGGACTCCCCGAGTCCAGCAAACTGGCAGCCGAGGATTCAAGCAAGCTTGCCCAGGAAGGCGAAGAAGCTTCCGCGGAAGGGTTACAAAAAGCGAGATGCTCCTGGAATGAGCTGAATGCCAACCCAATCAACTGGGTTGCTGTTAAGGAACTTAAATTGAGTTACCATAATGGGTATATATAGTAAATAATATGGTTCCCCCAATATAGTAACCTAAATTAAGTTCCTTAACAGCAACCCAGTCAACCATGAAAGCAAGACAGCATGCAGGATGGTGGCAAGCCCTTAGTTGCACAGCTGGTGGCGGCCTGAGCTCATGAATTCAGTCGGCTACAGTTGTTGGTGCTCCTAGACCCTCCACCTACCTCTATTCAGTCCTAAGTAGCATTACTAGGGGCCCTCTAATCCTAACTAAGGGTACTAGGAGGGTCCTGGTTGACAGAACTGCGATTGTGGTACCCGGTGCGTGGCCCGTATCTACCTGGCTCAAGTCTTAGTGGCCATGTTTGAACATTGGGGTGGCAATTCAAGGCAAAGTTTCCACGCAGGGCTGGTTGTTGTAGAGCCTGCAAAGGTGAAAAAAACATCATCTAGTCAACCACCACACACAAGAAACCCCGTATCAAGCTGACAAAGATCCAGTGGCTGACGCAAGCCTCTCTCCTGCAATGGGGGCAAACTGCGGGCGTTTCATCCAGGCGTGTAAACATCTTCGAACGATCCAGCTCCGCGCTGGTACTCGCTTCGGAGGGCGGACGTGTGAGTTGCCCCTTGCCTTTTCCTCTCCTGAATTCCTTTGTTGCATCCACCCAAAGACTACGTAAAAAAGCAGTGGAATTTCCTTTGGTTCTGGTGACAGTGCCTGTTGAGAACACGAAATGATACTGTACTAAGAGTTGGCAGCACTTGTTCTCAACAAGGGTGGTAACCCGCTTGGACATGTAGAGACTGCACAAACTGCATCGGAGCAGCATCACTGTTCCAACTCCTATGTCCTTGCTGCCCAGGTGGGACAAAGCAGACAAGGTGGTGTTGAAGGTCTTTGCTGGCACCTGGAATTTGGGCAACGCATCCCCTCCAGATGATTTGCAGGAGACCGGGTGCCAATTCAGCCTGTAAAAACGTTTAGCATCTTAGTATCGAACACGTCATATTATGCGCGGTAGTGATGCCTTTTTATCAAGAGTTCCTGTCTGTTATAATTTGCTGAGGATTGGCTACGGCCTGGCTACGACATTTATCTCGTTGGGGTACAGGAATGCAATTATCACCCACGACCATGGATAGACACCTGTGCGAAAGACTGGTGTCAAACCGTTGAAGAGAATTTGCCAGGTCTTGTGCGGATTTGCCAGCACGAGATGGGCCATTGCCAAATCCTCTGCTATGCCCGGGAAAAGGTCAGTCGTTCCATTCACAACGTGGCGGCGAGTCATGAGGAGACAGGTCTTGGCGGGCTCCTCGCGAACAAAGGTGGGCTGGCGATGTCCTTCTGGATTGGAGACACGAGCATTTGCTTTGTGTGCTCGCATCTTGCAGCACATCAAGGCAACATTGATCGCCGCAACAGCGACACTGCTCACATCATTGAGGGCATTTGCCTGACAAAGGACCAGCTTAGACCGTTAACGCATCAGCAACCTTGGAGCATTTCATCAAAGATCTTAAAGGATGTTAGAGGGGCATGGGTGGTCCGTTGAATTTGACTGAGATTCGCATTCTGCAAGTTGCTTTGCGCTGCGGACCTGCCTCAGGTTTACACACGTCTTTTGGGTGGGTCGCTTTGCGGCAGTACAGTCTGAAATGATCTGAAATTGCACGGCGCCGTGCAGCTAGGTTATTGTCGCCTTGTATTGACTGATGGTGCCATGTTTTTTGTCCTGGGATCAGAAGCCAAGGTGATTTGAACTACCGCATCGATTTGGACCGAGAGGCCTCCTCATGGCATGAACATACCCCACACCCAGTATTCTCGAGCCACGAGTTGCCGGCAGAACCCATCTAGTGAAGATGAAAGGGTTTGGTGACTCTAGCAGTTAATCTGTGCTCTGAAGTCCAGCACTTGGCAGGAAGATAAGCCGGCGGCTCTAAATGTATGCGTCTTCCATCATAGAGCGCACATTCAGCACGAGCACTGCCGAGTATTGGGAGGCATGCGAAGACTTGATCAGCGAACATGCCTGGGACAAGCTGCGCGAGCACGATCAGCTGCTGAAGGCCGGAGGCAGTTGCAGGTAGCCAGACAACCCCAACTCGTCTCAACTTCCAGTCTGAATGTCGAAAAGCTGAGCATAAAGGTCGACCAGTTCGGACATGCAACGATCTGGCCAGGTGCAAAAAGAAGAGAAAGCGTTCTGGACCTTCCAAGAAGGCAACGGTGCTGAGATTCGAACACATGTTCATGTGCCAACCCGTCGCCAGCATCAGCAGGCCCTTTGAACTTCGCGCCAACCTACCAGCACATTCCAGGCCGGGCTGCCGAGCTGTCACGGTAATGCTGGCAGATGATGCAAATCCCAAACAGGCAATGGACACTACTACAGAACTCAGTAGTCTGCGCTAGTTATGCATATAGATGCCCTACTGTGCAGGTATGCCACCTGATCCAGAGACTGGTCTAAGAGCATATGACCCAAAGAAGGCGAGAGTGCCTTCTTGGACGGATCGGATATTGTGGCAGTCATTCCCCGATGTGGAACCTTGGGCTGACCATAAGCCAACCGGACCACATTTTCATGACTCCAACCCTCAGGGTCCAAGTACCAAAGAATCATATACTTTCCCAAAACCTATACCATATGTATTATTACCCAACCCAAGTACCTAATTATTGGGTACTTGGGTAGTTGTTGCACTTTGACGGCTGCCCAAGGACCTCACACTGGAGCCAGGCTCTTACGACAGTTCCCCCATGTTGTGCACTAGCGACCACTCTCCCGTCAGCGCGGTCTTCGACATGCCTCTGACAAAGCCATATCGTATTGAAGAGAAGGGCGGATGCCTGTACATTCAGATTCGCAACTTGCAAGCAACAGGGCTGCCTCCAGGGGACCACCATGTGTCCTTTTGGGGCCAGTACTGCGAAAGGACAAGGCACACCAGGAACGCGACAAGCAAAGACGGTTATGCGGAGTTCAGCAAAGTTACTCTTCAGACCAAGCCGGGGGTTTGCAGCTCTAAATGGGTGCAAACACGTCACCTCTTGGTTGCCATCTACAAGGTGGATGATTATGTGGACAGTGCGCACATGAAGTCACACCCAGTGTCTACCCTGATGGCGCTGACGGGGATGGTGGATAGCTTCGAAGAGCCAGATGGCTATGGAGTCGTGAGTTTGCGAGGGGCCGGGACATGCAAAGCTTTCACCGCGAAGCTGAGCAACAGCACAGGGTCCCATGTCGGAAGCTTGCATGGCGAGATACGCATTTCCTCTGTTACAAGTGCAGAATCGCAATTGGACTTCGAGATTTCAAACATCATCCCCAAGACAGATGTGAACGCTGAGCTCAGGGATGGCAGCCAGCTGTCTGGCCAGCTGTCTGGCTGCTGTTTGAATGTGAAGACTATGCGCTTGCTTTGAGCATCTTGCGCATGTTACCTGCCTAGTTCCATGCACTTGTCCAGTCCAGGCCGAGGTCAGTTTTGAGATCTGAACAGCTTACCGCACCTACTGATTCCCCCCATAGCTGTGACGTCCTATGACGTCTTGCACAATCAATGCCAAATGCCGAAGGCAGTCTCGAAGATAAGCAGCTTTAAGTTTGGGCCAGCACACTCGAAGGTTTGTGACTGCTGGCACCATTGTCCATAGTTTTTCAATTAAGTTGGTTGGGCCACAGCAGGACTTCAAGTGGATCAGCGGCTGGGCAACTGGCTGCAAGCTGCACACTGGCCTGGGTTGAGCAGCCTTCTTTGGTCGGAGGCGACCATATCACAGGGGTGGTCCCATAGAGTTCGACTGGCTAGGTCTGATATGCTCCTACCGAAAAATTTGGAACACTTGCCCCAGCAAGCTGGCCACACGAAAGAGCGTTCCAGACCTCGGTAGTGGGATTCTAAGCAGATGTGCACCATTTTTGATAGGGCTAGTAACTGATCGAGACAGAACCTCCCGAGTTTGACTGCAAGCACATTGCCTCTGTGTTTGACCGTTCCCTTTGGGTCAGAAAATATAGGTCTTGTTGTCGGAACGACGCAGCGGTGCCAAGCACCGGCTGCAGCGGTGATGCATAGTCATCCTTTCATATCCTTTCAAAAGCGAACACCTTGCTTGCTGGCAGGAAAATGGTAGTTCATCCATCTTATCTTGTTGGGCTTGGCAGCATAACTTCGTGCGAATGAGCTAGTGGAGCCACATGACAAATGCGCTGGAATCCAGCAGGTCGGATCGGCTCCCTTCGATGAGGCACTGTGGCATAGGATTCTTCGCGCCCTTAGCTTCTTCAAACAGCCCGATTCACTGGCCCAAGTTGTTGCGCAGCCAGCATACGAAAGTTGGCTGTCTCAAGCACAGCTTGGTCCCGCACCTGCTTTGTTGCCCACTTGCGAGAGCGAGAGGCAGCGAGCGCTCGTCTTCAATACATCATGTTTGCAGCCGTGACCGCAGCGGCCATTAACGTTTCTCGCGCAGGCAAGACCTTTGCAGGGTCACGGGCTGCTCAAGAGAAAAGCACGCAAATGGCTGCAGCTGACCAGGATGTGACCCACCAACTGCATCCGAGCTGCGGGAGGCTGCAAGACTTGGGAGGGGCAGCAGTTGTCATTGCATTGGCATCGGAAGCAGCTTCAGTTACAAGAAGTGGCATGGCCCACTAGATGTGACAAAGGAGATAGGAGCAAGGTCTGTCCTCCACATTCCCCGGCCCATCGAACTACGCACTATCCAAGTACTGCCAGTGGTCGGAATTTGTCCTAGCTCCACAAAGCCAGTGCAGCTGGTACATGTGAGGTGGTGGCGTCAAAAAAATAAAGAAGCAGCGGCATACCAAAGCTGGTGCGCACTTGATTGGTTCAGAAAAGGCTCGGCTGGGTTCGCGGTTTACGTGTATATTATAGTATATTATGGTATAGCATGGTATATTATAGTTTATTATGGTATAGCATGGTATATTATAGCATATAATAGTAGAATGTAGTATCATAAGGGTTGCTCAGGCTTGGCCAGGCTTGGATCACGGGATCTGCAAGAGCTCGGACATAACCAAAGAGTCCAGATGTCTCAGCCGCAGCACAATTATTCAGAGGGCTTTTGTGGACGGTCAATACCTTCGCATATTTGTTCGAGCCACTAACAGCAACTTTCTACCTATTTTGTTGAATCATCATCGTCATCAACATCACCACCCTAGGGTGCGTTTACATGTTTGCACGCGGCCATGGGCTGATCTGGTCGGGAACTGAGGAACTTTTGAAGCCACATGTTGGCTCCGCAGCAAGCTTCAACAGATGGAAGGCTGACTTGTGCACCGTTGACTCATCGGGTTACCCTGTATTCAGACTGATGAAAGATTGTGATGCATGCGTTACATGTGGGAGAATGTCTGCAGCAGTCTCCGGCGAGAGTTGTGAAACAGAAAATGACAAAGCAATTAGTCCACATGAGCCAGCTGAGGTTGCCAGCATGACGGAAGCAAGTGGTGGCGTTCTGCGCGTGGGCTTTCGAAAGGCCATCTGAGCAAAAACAGCTACATCAGTGATGAAAGATGTTTGTCTCTTCGGTCTACGGACCTTTATCAGTTCATGCACGTCAGCATCTCTCATAAAAGCATGACAGGGTGCCCTTTCATACGCCCCCCCAACATGATTGTCGTCACCATTACTGAAAGGTTCCAAAACACGTACCATCGATTTAGAATTCAGAATCCTCCAATTCAGAACCCTCCAAAGCACCACTGATCCCTACAACATCCTACAATTTCCTCATATCATCAGATAGAACTGATGGAAACGCAGACCAAGAATCCTTAATCCTCACGGAATCCCACGGATTTCAAAAGCTCCTGGTGGGAACAGGTCCTCGCGCAAAGGCTGCTTGAGCTGGAGCATGCGACTCGTGTGCTTCTCAGTTTCAATCTCCATCAGGAGCTACTAAAAATACAAAGAGAACAAGGACTGTTGAAGTGACTCCAGCTGGAATACGTGCACCTGCACTTGCCAAATGTGTGGCACTAGCAACACGCAATACAGTTGGAGTGGTGCATCAGTGCATCATGCTCAGAAACAAGGAGATGGAGTGTCCTTCGCGTGCGCCAGCTGCACACACAGATTGAGAAGGTCCCGGTGCACGATCATAAATCCAAGCTGCTCACGTCGGGAGAGCATCCATGCCGCTTCAGAAGCAGCAGCCGACAACATCAAGTTCACAAAAGTCAAGATTGGCAAACAAAAGCGAGAGCTTGCGACTAGTCACTAGAGCCTTATTAGGCTATGAAGTGAAACATGATAGGAACGAGATCTCAAAACGCACTGAGAACAATCCTCGTACTGCAGCTTGCCACAGAAGGAAACTGTGCCGAACGAAGAGGTACAGCGGCCAGGAGCGGGCCGCATTCGAGAAGGGGTACCTGGATCGTGTTTCAGATTAATTGTGGATTGAAGGTTTAGGGTTTAGGGTTAGGATTTAGGGGCTGCGAAGAGAAAGGTACTAGAAAGACTCATATTATCGTCGTAGAGCCTACCTATCGTCCTTGTGATCAAGATCTGCATGCCATGGCGGTTCTCGTGCTGCCCATTCCAAAGCTACTTGCTTGGTTCCCTACCCGAAGATATGGGCGTTGTCTTGGTATTGGGGTATCAATAGGGCTAGAGGGGCTATATAAGTTATGTAGATGATTATTTCCATTCTTTTTCGCATCTCTTTGTTTCTATACTCACCGCCACCTTCCAGGTATCGAGCCGCAATTCAGGATATGCTGGTTCTGGCTGCTTGCTCGGACGGAAAGAAGACACGTTGCAGTAAGGGTGCCTGGTATGGGGCCCCTAATCGTTAAGGGTTTAGGGTTTAGGGTCCAGGATGCCTAAACCCTAAACCCACTGACTACCCTGTATGTACATTGAAGGAGCCCTCTTCCAACCTCAGACCGCACAAATTTGCGCTGCTTTCAGATTTATTCTATGCCTTTCCGGAGGTTCCTGGCCGAAGGGACTCTACAGGGGTAGGTCAAAAGATATGTTGAAATTGTTGCTACCTTTCATTCCTATATATAGTCGTTATACAATCATAAACTGAATTTTTATAGGCCCGCAAACCTACCCTAGTTAAGGTTTTGTAGGGTTCAGGCTCCCCATTCTGGGGCCTCATGGCGAGGTATTTGCAAGGTTTTGGGCATGTATATGAGCTAGAGTCTCAACTCCTTAAAGTGGAACTACATAGGGGATTCTACATGGGAATATCATAGGGGTTATTAAGGGGATGCTAGGAGTTTAGGCTACAGCTCATATGAGATGGTCTTTACAAGAGTGCAAGCGCATGCCGAGAGATCGTCCTCGATATGAACAATGCTGAAATTTGACGAAGCTTCCACTACAGTTCCAACCACACTAGAGCCCGTGGTATATCGCCCCCCTAACCCTGCACTATACTGAGCCCTAAGTTTGGAAAACACCCCCATGCAATTCAAAGGCCACAGTTTCATCAGCGGTTGCGGATGATGTGCGGAGGTTGGGGCTGGGCTCGCCGGTGCGGCATTCTTAACGGTTTGTCTGGGCCTCATATTTCAGCATCGTAATATACCGTATATTATGTTACAGGATATTATATTATATCGTATTGTACCATGTTATAATAGTATATGTTATGCTGTATAGTACTCCGTTATGATCTAAGTCTATGACATCCTGTTATGCTCTCTTATACTATATTGCACTAGACTACAGTTACTATCTGAGCCTGGCCCCACCATAAATACTACTTGTGTTTGAATTGCTGTTGGAGGGGGACCAGAAAATGAAGCATCAGTGGAAGGCTAGTTGGCCACTTTGCCTGGCTCAGGCTTGTCTCCAGCACTTTACCAGAAGGCCATTTGTTGTCCTTCATGGAAACCTTAAACCCTAAACCACAAACCCTAAACTTGGCTTGAGGTACGCGAGAAAGTTCGGCCCTGGGTTGTGAGACAGGTGGAGCCAGCAACTGAGACGCAAACACGTTACAAGCAGCTGCCTCGCTCGTGCATGCTATACTTCATTACCAACACATGACACCCCGACTACCACCACCACCAGCACCACCACTACCACGACGACGATCCTACTACTACTACTACTACTACTCCTACTCCTACTCCTACTCCTACTCCTACTCCTACTCCTACTTCTACTGCTGCTAGTACGACGACGACGACGACGACTACTACTACTACTAGTAGGGGAACGTCGCATAGCTGACGGTAGGTTTTTCCCTACTTCAAGTTGAGTTTACAGTGGTTTCGGCCTTGTTTTGATATTTCTGGCGGGGGTTGGGTTTTTCTGAAAAACTGCACAACGTTGCTACCGTGATGTGGGTGGGAGGGTGGGGTGGGGGGGTTGGGGTGAGGGGGGGGGGAATTACGTTCGTGAGGACAGTAAGCGCAACAAGCTCCGAAA